GGCTCCCGGCCCTCCATGGTTCCCAGCCCCCCAGGATCCCCTCTCCCTGCTCCACCACCCCATGGAGGTCCTGGAGCACGGAGGAACCCTGACTCTGTCACCAGTGACACCAACCCAAGCCCGTGGGTGGCTCCTGCAAGATCCACATCCCCCGAGGGCTGAGCGTGACCTGAGGGGGGGACCCTCCCCATCTCCCTGCACCTCCTGTCACCCCAGGGGCCACTACGGGCACATGTCACTGTCCCCAAAGCAGCTCTCATCTCCGCCCGCCAGTGAGCAGGATGGGGCCACCCCAAAGTGCTCTTCTCCTCCTCCTCCTCACGGTGCTGAGCTGGCTTCCTGCAGCCTCTACCACAACCCCAGCAGCCCGGAGCTCGCAGGTGGCAGACGGTGAGCAGGACCACGTCCCAGCCATGTCCCCAAACCCCTGAGAAAAGCGACAGGAGGACGGGACCACCCCAAAATCCCCCTTCCCCATGGCCAAGGGGCTGCCCCACCGGCGCTGAGCGGGGATGGAAGGGCTCTACCTGCTCTTGGTGACTCTCTCCGGCGTGGTGCCTGGACAAGGTAGGTCAACATCTCCACCCTTGGTCCTGCTCCATGTGCTGGGACACAGGGGTGGTGGTTCTGGAGCCGGGTTGGATCCTGCTGGGCAGGAGATGCCGGTACCGGCGGCGATTCGGTGCTGAGCGAGGATGCTGGGCAGGCATCTGGGCAAAGCTGAGCTCTTCTCCATCCCTCCGGCCTCCATCCCTCCTCCTGCCTGCTGGGAGCGAGGTACAGGGGGTTCCTGGTGACACTGGGGACCCTAAAAGGGCTCTGAGGACCCTACAGTTGCTCTTGGGGCCATCCCGCCTGCCAGCTCCCACCCCCAGCCCTGCAGGGACAGGCTGATGCCCTCCTGCTGACACCAAACCTCAGCCCACCTCCTGGTGGCCCCAACATCCCCCCAGGATGGTTTCTGAGGGTCGATGCCACCCTCTCCCCCCCATCCCGGGCAGGTTTTTGGGGCAGTTTCACACCCAAAATGGCTGCCAGGAGCAGCAAACGATGGTTTCCTCCTCCTGCTCCTTCCCTCTCCTCCTCTGACCTGTTCCTGTCACTTCCCCATCACGTTCCCCCCCGTTCCTGCCCCCATCCCTTCTCCTTCTCCTTCCATATTTGCCCCACGAAGCCCATTTCTCCGGCAACGGTTGGTGCTGGGCTGGGATGTCTGGGGGACAGGCAGGGACAGGCAGGGACAGGCAGGGACAGGGGCCTCTCTCTCCACAGGGATGACGAGCCAGGATCCAGCAGGATCAACAGCAGCCCCAGCACAGGATGGAAACCC